CGGGTCTCGTTCCAGGAGGGATCATACGGGTTTGGAGTCTCCCGACTACAAGCATGAGGCTGTTCTGGAGGATATCTTGCTTGAATGTCCTCTCCAGTTGACTGCGTGGTGATGGCCCTTTCCTTGCTTCGAGGGGTTTGGACTAAAGCTCTGCAGCCCCTGTCTGAGCCTTTCTGAAGCAGTGTTGTACCGGGGGTACGGACTGTGCAGCGGAAGAATAACTTCTGGAAGATAGGATATCGGATGCCACCCGGCAAGCTATGCTACCGGTCGCAAAGCCTCGAGTTAGTCACGAGCTAAGCCAGCGACCGACACTATTGCATGATGATGACAACAGGCACCTGGATGGCTTTGATAAGCAATGGTTGTCTGGACTGTGATGATAGTGACATTCAGCATCACTGATGTCACGCCTTATGACACATGGCCATTGATCACCAGGACCGGCATAACGTCCATCAGCACCGTCACCGTCGCAGCCACTGTTGGCACTATCATATTCTCCGCTCAGCATCACCAGTGTCTACAGCGGAACCATGAAATGTCATGCTGCTGCTGATGAAGGAGGATGATTATGGTGGTGATGAAGATAACGACGACAATGATGATGATGATGATGATGATGATCACCAACACCAGTATGACCACCATCATCGTCGACATTGCCAATATACAAACAACCACCCCAGTGTTCAAGCGTCTCGGAAATTGACCATTGACGTTCACAATCAAAAGCTACTTTGCCGATTTGGGAGATCTCAGGTGAGACCTTCACTCTTTTGAAGTTCGAAGTCCCTTCGGGCTACACAGCTGGCATCAACCCAGGCCAACATGTGAAAGTGCACGCCCCTCGTGCAGAATTTGGGTACTCGTCATCGCTTTTTGCAGTGAAAGTGTCTGGTATGCCTAATCCCTTTTCGTCGGGCAACGAGCACCTGTCCAAGCGAAATCAGTCAAGGTACCCAACCTGTCGAAAGGCCACAAAGAATGGAACAAGGCGACAAATTTGGAGGAGCCTGTCGAGATCCTCAGCAGCTTGGCCTCTTTCCAGGGCTGCAAGAGCACTATGCCTTGAGACCTACCGCCTTGACGTGCCAGGTAGGTCATACACGCCTGTGTCGGCTACTACGTCGCCAACCCTGGACCTTATGGTTCGTCATTATCCCAAGAACGCAGAGAGAGGCTTCCCAGACGGAGGCCGGATCCTGGGAAGCTGCTTCAGTTTCAGCTAATACGGGATCCTTAATATTTAGAAGAGGGTTTTGGGGTATAGTTTACAATAATTGTAACAAGGAGCTCCCAAAATAGTATAGGTAGCATCAGCTACTCAGCTATTTATCGTGTCTGTCAGACGATCTGTTGCAATGGCCCAGATGCTCAAGCGGGGGCTTGGGCCATGTCAGCCTGGTATCGAGAAGATCTGGCCTTCCAACGATGGCAATGAGATCGAAAGTGGTAGTCATAGTGGTCGTCGCCGCCATCATCGTCGTTGTTGTTGTCGGCGGCCCCGTTGCCACGGTATATGTAATAGGGTAGCAGAAATAGTTGCTGGCTTTTTCTTGACGTTTGTTCTTTGGTGATTCGTTAGTTGTCTGAATATCATTGGTGGTGACAGTACTAGCAGCAGCAGATGATATACTGGTAGTCGTCGTCGTCCTCATCGTCGCAGCACTGGTCGTCGCCGTAGTAATAGCATGACCACGGATCAGACAGAAGGTGGTCGAATCCACAGGTCGCGTGCGTGTTTGACAAACATATTTTCAATATTGGTTCTGCATGTTTTCCCAATTTCGGAAAATATGCACCGCCTGGCCCAAGGGTCTACCTATATCTTACGATTAGTCGTAGCAGCAGGAGTAGTGGTAGTGGTAGTGGTAGTGGTAGTGGTAGTGGTAGTGGTAGTGGTAGTAGTAGTAGTAGTAGTAGTAGTAGTAGTAGTCGTGGTGGTAGTAGTAGTAGTAGTAGTAGTAGTAGTTATAAGTAGTTAGCAGTAGGAGTCTGAGGAAGAGCAGGAGGAGGAGCAGTGCAGTTGCAGCAGCAGCATCAGCAGGAGCAGTAGGCGCAGCAGCCCAAAGAGCACAGCTTGTCGCCTTGCCAGGCTTGAGCCCGAACTTTAGCTACTTAGGTGAACCGATCGGGACAGACGTTCTGAAGCGTGGCCCTCCCAACAAGGGAACAGCATTCTCGAAACGATTTTGTGTGTGTTTTGCCCTCTGTGTATGCAGCACGAGAGAAGTGTAAAGCTGACGGGTGTTTTCGGTTTTGATGCAAACAACGCTCGCAAAGTGCGCGAGCCTTCTGTAGGTCGGAGTTCCTTGCAGGGGTACCCTTGCAGCAGGCCGTGCGAGTACATTCATGATCGAGAAGTTGGCTGAGGGAAGCAAGATCCTAATGTCGGGTCCTCATGGACATCAGCTCTACTACGGCCAGGGAAACTTCTTGGTTGGCAAGAACATGGTACATGCGCGAGCCTGCGGCGCTTTGGCCGGGGGTTCAGGCACCTTGGCAAAGCTGAGGTAGCTCCTTCGCAGAGCTCAAAGCATTGAGTTGAGGGCCTCTTGAATTCCATCGCTCCTTCAAGGAATTACGCCCGTCCTGGCGACGCTACAAGATATTTGGCAAGAGGGACGTCGTGATGTTCGGGATCGGGACCAGCGGATCTTGGGGGAGCAGGCCATCAAGATGAAGGAGTCGTCCAGCTGCAGGGTTCGTCTTTTGCTTCTCTCGAACAGCCGAAGGAGTACATATGTTGGAGTAGTGATAAGGTTGCCACTAGCCAATTGTGGAAGGAGCAAAGGAAGAAGCGTGACATTGTGCAGTAGGAGGGCTTGGGAAGAGAGGTAATGTAGGGCCCTAAATAATTACCAAAACTATTTTTTGGGGGGTTCCTTATTATATCTCTAGTATAATGGGCCCCAAAACCATATTCAAATTACTAAGGCCCCTCTATTAGGTCCCGAGACGACTTGACCCTCGTGGTTGTGACTACTTTTGTGAAGGCAGCCTCGCATGTAACCTGCAGCTTTAGGTCCCCAGCCCGTATCTGTGCTCTTCGATTCTGTTGTCAATTCTTTTGCAGACCTGTTTTCTAAAGTTGGTCGTGTTGATTGTAGAAGAGGGGGATGAGGTAGGCATCGCGAGCGAAATCTGAGCGTGTCCTTGTTGCCAGATGCGCTGCGTAGGTCACTGACAACTTTTTGTAGAGTGCAGTTGCCGAGAGCTTTGTCCTGGAACGGATGTGCAAACTGTGGAAACAGATATCGGCTGTCTGACTGCTGCTGGCAGAAGCGGCGCAAGGTTTAAGGTATGTTTGGGCCCGCTCGACTATCCGAGCATCTGGTGGGATGACGACACTGAGTTTTGCAGCTGCATCACTATGTGTAGATCGGCGTCCGTCTTTATTTCACCCGCCTTGAGCGGGTTCATGGCAACGGCACACATCACGCTTCTGCACCCCAACTACATTTGCGTATTAAATCTCAAAGTTTAACAGTTTAACACTCCGGCACAACCTACAAGGCTGACATGCAGAACGCACCAATGGCATCTTCTCGCGAAAACCAACACAGGGCTACACGCCTACACTCAACAGACATGAGCGAGCTCTGTCATCGAGTGGCTCCAAGGCAATGTAGATGTTTAGCGAACGAGCGGCTTTGGGATGTGCTCATCGGCGACTGCACATGATGGCATGTTGCAGCCTTGGGGTCGAGTTGTTGTCTGTTTGTTATTGTCATCTAGCTGTGTACATCAGGTTGCCGGAGTTTTTGCCTCATTGGTGCTGCCGTTGTTTGCTGGATGCGTTGCATGAGAGATGCCTCTAGTCTCCAGGCACCGCATGTCCTTAAATTGACGGCGCATGTGGGCGCTGCTTCTAAGTGCGTCTCTGTGTGTGCGCACGCATGTCCCAGCCAAGAGGTGCCACATTCTAGTCTGAGACCCACCGAGAGAGACAGGGGATTCCCGTCGAACAGACAAGGACAGACAGACACAAGCAGGTGCAGAGACTTATTCGTTTAACAAACTTGTTCATTTCAAGAAGCTGAGGTTTGCAATCATGCACGTGACGCGATCTGCTTCGGAAGCTCTTTCGCCAGAGTGGTACTCACCTCCAAAGGGCGAAGAGCAGACGCCTCTTCGCCTGTCGCACGTGGTCACGGGCACAGGCGGCGCAGACTCTTCAGACGTGCCAGGCCGGCCGGAGCTGCACAAATGCACAGCACCAAAAAGCGGTCCAACTCCGGAGACTCGCTTTTTTCTTGGCAGGAGCTACTTGCTATAAAGGGCGAGTGACTGAAGAGATGGTACGCGCTGCGATGCTGCTCCACTGCAGTCCATAGCACTATGAATGCCCTCTCTTTCAGCGCGAGTCGTCTCTCAAGGCCTGCACCTGGAAACGACGTGGTGATCTTCGTATGCGGTCCGCAAGGCTCTGTGGTGCTGCAGATGATTTCGGATGCCAGATGTCGCTCCAGCTCAGGCTTTTCCGAGTCTTGCTGCCGCCCGATTCTCAAGAAGCTTGGATACGAACATATCGCGGCTTGGCATTTGCAGCACTTGCAGAGCCATGCCGTGGTCCGCATTCGGTCTTGACTGCGGTAGAGCCGAAGGTGTCCTGGGAGACACTGGTGGCTGACCTGCTAAGTAAATGAGAGAGATGTGAAACTCGCGGCTTGCTTAAGGTGATGCTGCAATGAGCGGATGAGAGGTCCCCATCTATCAAGAAAAGCTGCTGCTTCTCTCTTTGCAACCCAGAACATGGAGAAATATGCCCATGTCGACTACATCTGCGAAGCCCGAGATCTTAGGTCAATGTTCAAAGTCGCACTCTTGATGCATGTTGCATATTGCTACGTTTTTCCGTCTCACGCCCTTCTCGAATTGCAGCTTTCATAAAGAGCTGGTGAAAAAGATGAACTTACGCCCCTGCCTGCACCTTGCCTCAATCTTTCAGCCGCACCTTGAGGAACTGGCCTTTTGCATTCTACTTCACATGCCAGGACACTTTGAGAGAGGCGTCCGATCAAAAGCAGCGAACCATCTTGCTGAGTGCGGGTCTTACTTCAGGCCAGCGGAACATCCTAAACCCTAAACCCTGAACCCTGAACCCTAAACCCTGAACCCCCCCCCAAGAGCCCCCCAGAGCCCAGTGCCCAGGTCACGTGGTGCTTTTGCCTGAGGCGGGAGCCTCTGCACTTCTAAGCCTGTGCTCCGTAAGCCGTAAAATCGAGGGTTTAGGGTTTAGGGTTTAGTACAAAGTTCATCTTAACATCGTGCAACAGCGAGTGACTGCGGAGGCAACACCACGGGGCAACGGGCTGACACTACTTTGGAACTACGATGAGGCCAGGCAGTGCGGATGCACAGCTAAAGCTCAGATCTCTTCGGCAGCAAATAGCAGCAGCTCGCCACCCAAAATAGCACACTGCCAGGTCTTGGACATCATTCGACGTGCTGCAGATCCTCCTGTTGCTGCAATGCCACCTCAGCCTGTGAAGCTTTGCAGTGGCCAAGACTGCAAAGCCCTTTGAGCCGGTATGCTCGTTGAAGATGCAGTAACAGTCTAGAATAGGGCTACTATTAAGGGCCTAATATATCCAATATATATATATATATATGTGTATATATATATATATATTATCCAACCGTTACTGAGTTGGGCACAAACAAGTTGCCAGGTGCGGCCATGCTCACCTGCCTGTGTATGCTGTGGACAAGGCACGGAGAGCACCGATCATAAATCTGGCTTCTGATCGTAGACCCAGAGGGTCCGAGTACCCAAATAGTAAGGCTTTAGGCCCAAAAACCATACCCTCAATGATTTTTGGACCTTGAAACCCTACTATTTGGGCACTTGGACCCTTAGGGAGAGGAAGCCTTGCATTTGTTTCTGGTTTTTATCACACCCCCAATGACTGCGGCACGTCGCAATCGGTTGGCTTCACAGATGAAGATCTTCTCGGAGGAAAGATGTCGTGGGTTCATTCTGACCTGGCAGCCACTTCGTAATGGCCCTATATCGAAATCTCATCTACTGTGCGACAGAATCTTTTCAGTGTGAGGTTTGTGGTACACATCACATCACGCTGCCATCTCCACTGGAGGCCCCTGTACTGCGGGTTGCTGAAAAGACCAGGCTGTCCGTGGATGCCACATAGCTGAACCCTGTGACTGCACACAGGTGGAGCCGGGGTCGGATGCTTGCGCTGTGAGCCTCCAAGTGTTGACACCGTGCATCACACCTACTGTAGCTGGGATGCCGATAGTAGGGTTTAGGCATGCGCACTTCATCTCGAGCTCCATGTCGTCGCGTCCATGGCCGCACAGTGCCAACAGGGATTCTGATATTGTCGAGCGAAGGCTAGACATGCGAGTCGCGAGGTTGTCTTGGCGCACCAGAACGGCGACATCGAGATCAAAGGCGTGCAATGCAATGCGACACAGCAGCTGAATGACAGCAGAAGTGCCCACGCAACGATGCCGGTCGACTCGCCAGTTCGTGTTGCCGATGGCTCACAGTCGTTGTGCGTGGGCCGCTCGGAAGTCAGGCGGGTTAGCTCTTGGCTACGCGCCCCAGTGCCGGGCCGCGGCGACATTGCCAGCTGCAGATTTTCGACGGATCTGCAGAGACGCCTCGTGTGAGACAAAGACATCTTCTGGGAAGCACCGTGTAGACAGATGAACGATAATCCCATGTCATGGGCATACATGAACGCTGCTTAGATATAGATGGCCAAGCTGCTGTAGTTGAACAGTGAAGGTGCCATGCCATGGGTATGTTCCAGGTTGTTTTTCCAATTGATGCCGTCGTGGCTAAAGCTGCAAAGAATAGCCCGTAGGGACGTTGCCATCACGTTGACACCATCAGGGGACAACCTTGGCCCCAAGCATCCCATCCAACTCATCCCCGGCAGCCAACCTTCTTCCCATAATTGCCGTAACTGTTGTGGCCATTCACCGGCCTGTGTATCTTTTCTCAGTACCACTCCACCAAGCAACCCAGCCTGCCCCCAGGAACCCGATAGTAGCCCGTCTGTGGCCCCCTTCACAGACGCCCGGCCGCACGATGGGCGTGAAGGCCGAACAAGCGCCAAGTCCATGGTGGATATCACAGCGCATCTGAAGTACAATGAGCATCTAGACCATGCAAATTCGAACATTAATATCGGGAGAGTTTCGCCAAAGAGGACGGCCTCTTGTCGGTAAAGGACCTATAGGATCATTCTCTTGACTCTCTGGCAGGAAGCCGCGGTGCCTAAGCGACGGCGCCGCGGCAGCCATGTTCCAGTCGAGGCAGACTAAAGCAGATCTGCATTAGAAGGAACTCGTCATGCATGTGCCGTGCTTTTATCCCAGAATATGAAAGCTGAAGCTTGTGACTTCTGCACATGTTGGATCACCTCTGCTGCAGGCAGACTGCCCGCCAGAGTTGTTACTCATGCAGCAACTAGCGTCATGCAGCAACAAGCAGCTTTGATACGAGGTCCTGATTGTCACAACCAATGTAGCACAGTGCCCGAAACATCCTTTGCCTGTCCTAGCGTCCTCAAATGGACGTTGCAAGCTGGACTCTGGCAAATGTGGCCCATTGGCACTTGGAATGCTTTGCCTAGCTCACAGCGGCAGAACGGAGCCGCAGCCTCCGTGGCGTTCTTCCCTGCTCCAGTCTCCGCTTCAGCCGAGATGCTCAAAGTCAACCCGGCTCAGGCAAGATTCCCTGACACATTATGAACTAACCCTTCCTCTGAACATAGCCCTTGGCCTCACGACTAAATGTAAGCTAAGTCTTGAGCGAGGCGTGGCAGCTTTCAAGCCTGGCGGGCAGCACGCTGCTCAGCGTGGACAGCTTTTCGTATCGAGGACCTCTCTCTGTCTCCGTGGGCCTGGCAGCATGCCTGAGCCAGCGAACTTTCCAGGAGAGATTAGAGAAAAAGCAGAAGCCGAGCATCGGGCGCTTCAATCTATCCAACCTGTCTTCCTCGAAGTGGCATGGGGTGAACTATGGAAACAGGTTCATTCCAGAAGACTGGATGAAGCACCCTTACAACTTCTTCGACCAGATCCGCAAGAGTGCACGCAGAGTGGCTTTGTGGGATCTGCGAGGCCCAGAAGCGAAGCAGAAGATGCTTCGATGGCTCGATGCCACGATATGCGAGACTCACTTTAAGGAGATGCAGAGGTGTGGTGTTGAAGTGCTCCGTGTTCCATGTGGCTACTGGAACTGGGTGACCTATGATGCTGACGATGGGCCTGAGGTCCCTGACACGCACGCAAGCATCCAGGAGCGCTTGAAGAACTTGCATCGCATTGCTTCGCCACGCGACTATCGCATCTACTTCGACAAGATCTTTGAGTTCGCTGACAAGCAGCTGAGCTGAAGACTGAAGGAGCTGGCAGAGCCAGCTTGGGATCAGTAGTCAATCATTCAATCACTGCCTCTGCTAGATAGGACTGTCACTACTTTAGTGGTTGATGTGTCGGCAAAATCAAGTTAGGAGACTTGTGAAGTGCATGGTTCGTTGCAGAGATTCCTTGCTTCTTCACGCGATCAGTAGCTCGCATCGACCCGGATCAGTGCACACATGCCAAGGTATGGGATCAAGGTTTTGCTGGACCTTCACGCGCTCCCCGGGTCCCAGAACGGAGAGATCCATAGCGGTGTGTGCATCGAGGCTCTCTGGTTGCAGTATTGCAGTTTAAGTTTCAAGGCAGGGCCCGGGAACTGCAGTGTCAGAGTTGCGGGCACCGTGTGACTTCAGGAGAAGGAGGAACACCTGGGCTTCGTGCACAGCGATGCGAACCTTCGAACCTCTGTTCGTGCAGTTCGGGCAATGGCCGAATTCGCAAGCAAGAAGCCGAATCTCTTTGGCATTCAGGTCATCAGCGAGCCGCACTTGCACACGGATGAGGGGCACGAGTTCCTTCGCTCCTACTATCAGCAAGCCATTTTGGCTGCTCGAGAATTCCTGGACAGGACGGTTCCGGTGGTTTTGTTTGAGTGGACCTACGAGATGCACCGCTGGGAGGCCGGGGCGTTCCCGGAATCTACCTATGGCAGAGTGATCTGGGACACGCATCTTTATCACTTCCCCGAGTCCGGCCAGAAGTGGACATCGAGGGACCAGGGCCTGGAGAAAGCCAAGGAAGCCTACGCCTGGGATCTGCAGCAGCTCCGGCACTTTTCCCGCGCACAAGGCGAGACGGTCTTCGTGGGTGAGTTCTCCCTTGCAGGGCCAAGCTTGAACATGAAGGAAACACGTGAGTTTGCCCAGTGGTTGGTCGAGCAGTTTGACTTTGCTTGTGCTGGCTCCTTGCTTTGGTCCTTCGATAACTCCATCACTGCTTGGAGCATGCAGAGGCAGATACAAGAGTGGGGTCTGGACTGGAAGTCTATCCTTCGTGGCGAAGGTGGTCGTGCAGTCGAACATCCACCAATCAAGATTGAAGCTGCCCCCTTCGGGACTTGGCTCACTGCGACGGAGAAGGGCGCTGTGCAGGCAGACGCCCCAGACCCCTCCTGGTGGGAAGAATGGGTGCCATATTCCTATCAGGTTAACGGAAAGTCGAAGCTTGCATTACGTTCTGCTGCTCATGGGACTTGGCTCAGCGTGACACAGGAGGGTGAGGTGATCCAGTCCGATTACCGCTCAGCTTGGGAAGAGTTCTCGGTCCTCTTTCGAGAGAAGACGGAAGACGGAAGGCAGTGCATCTCGCTGCAATCCTTCCATGGCTCATGGCTCGCAGTGCGACGTCCCCGGGCGACCGATCGACTCCTGCTGTCTGCTCGGATTGATTCCGAGGCCACCGCCTGGCTTCTGGCATAAGACCGAAAAGCCATGATACTCGTAGATACTTGGGTGGTTGTCAAAATTAGGGTCCCTTTTTGGGGTACCCTAAATAATAGGTGCCGTATTATAATAAGGACCCAAAAAGGGACCATAATTTTGACAACCACCCACTTTAGGTGTTTCACACGCAGGACCTTTGAATGTTCGCTTCGTAGTTTGTCAGACTCCTTGTATGCTAAACATGCATACAAGGTTGAAGTCCTGACAAGTTTTGGAGGCGTAGGGAATCGACGAAGTCTCCTTACTCTTAAGATGCTAGAAATGTTTGCTCTAGGGATGTCGGTTTCCCGATCGCTCCTTAATTGTCTTCATGGCCCATTGCACCGTTGCTCGGCTTTAGAAACTTTGCAGAGCCGTACATCCTAGCCCGGCGAACCTTGGCGGGCCCTCACCGGTTCTTACGAGCGAAGCCCTGCAACGGTGTGCGTTTAATCTAAAACAATGGACTCGTGTGTCGTCCTTGAATAGCTGCGGCCGTTGTTCCTCTTAAGATGTCCGCAAGCCTGCAGAGCCATTCGGAAAAGAGGTGCGAGCCGCCGTGCTGGGTGCTGGCACACACGACCGATAAGGTGTATCATTGCTCATGGCCCGGGGACCACACTCGCAACAAACTTCCGAACATGGCTCTCACCACCTCACAGGTGCCCATGCCTCGTCATTGTGATTACTTCTGTCCTAGGTTGATGCCATCGATTTGGACTCGGACCCGGAGAAGCCCAAGAAGAAGAAGCGGAAGCAGGCCACAAACGCGTGGTTCAAAACGATCCGCAATCAGCCTATGTTCCGGGAGCGACGCTTCCTGGCGATGCGACACGATCATGATGCATTTGTCTACCAGCCCATCGAGTTGGAACCTTCCGTGGATGCCTTGCATGGCTGCGGTCTGATCTCTACTGGCATGCTCTGCCCTGCCCAGGCGCACACAGAGAGGAGGGAGCCGGAGCATCGCAACAAGGCAGAAGACTGTGTTCATGCAAGTCAGCGCATCTGATACATGGGTAGTTCTCTAAATTAGGGTCACTTTTTAGGTCCTCAATATAGTACGGCACCCTTATAAAAAAGGACCCCAAAAGCGACCCTAATTAGAAAACTACCCACATGAATCTCCCAGGCTCCGCCTGAGGTTCGGCCGAAGCCTCTTCGACAGGTCCGCCGCAGCACAGACGGGATTGGGATCATGTACGACTCGTGCTGTGACCGCGCGTGTGTTGATGATGCGTGGCCTTCACTCTAGGAGAAGCACGCAGAGAAGGCTAAGAAGAAGCCGGAGAAGGAGAAGAAGAGCAAGAAGCACAAGAAGCGAAAGGAGATCAAGAATGATGCATGTCAGGTGTAGATGCACACAGGTGGCAAGCATGGCGATTTGTGAGACTAGACCGTGCTTGAGTGTCCTCACCGGTTCGGTTGAGGATCAGGGTGACTATGCAGACGTCGGGATGATGAGCCACAGCGCTATGTTTACGCCGATGATGGGCATGATGAGGCACAGGACCAGCTTTGTTTCGCTTGGAATGCTGCTGCAGCTCTGTTACACTGTTACATCGGGAGAGTAGGAGGCGGCTTCCGTAGCACGGCTGCAGTCTGCGACAGGTCGATGAGCTATGGCGTCATGCCTGGGATGACCATGATGATGAATCTCTGCCTCCACACGTTATCATACATCTTTCTCATAATTGTTCTTTGCCCTCCCCTTCTTCATGTTACCATAGGTACGATTCTCACACTTTTATGGTTACTCCTATTAGTTCTATTGTCAGCGTTATTTTATTCTTTTGTCAGGCTTTCTCAGATCAGAGAATCCCCTCGCTTCTACCAGGGTCACATCTCGTACGCACAGGTTGAGGCTCGAGGATGAAGAGAAGTGTGCGTTGCAGCTTCTGGGATCATGTGGGATCTGTGGCCTTCCGGTGGTTTCTTTTTTTGGGGTTTTGGGGCGGAGGCTGGGTTCAAGAATCACGGACAACAGCTGTTGGGCGGCCAGTACACCATGCTGAAGAGACAGTTCCAGCCCGAACTGTTTTTTTGAAGCTGAGCTTTTCCCGTGGAGCTCCGAGTAGCTCGATCGCATGTTGACGGGCTGCCAAGGATGCCGGGGATGATTGCTCCCGGGCTGATGGGGGGCCATGCCGCTTCCCTACTGTCGTCTGCTTCGATTTGTGGTGTCAGGAATACATTCAGAATTAGGCTGGCTCGTAGTCTCAACAGGTTGGCCAGATGGCCATGCATGGAGCTGCGGCGATGCCGTACTTCCCCCCAGGCCGTGCCACATCACGCGACCTGCGTCGGTCAGCTGTGTACAAGCAGTTTGTGTGGCGGCAGAGCGTGTGTTTACATTGCGTTATCATCAGACTCATCAGGATTGGGAAGTGATCTTCGAGTCTTCATTTTTCTGAAGTTTCATGTTGACATGTGTCAAATTTGCGAGATGCAGGTGCTCCGGCAATCGCACCAGCATGGCAGGCGGGATGCACTCAAGGATAAGGAAGCGAAGTTCCCGCGCCTGAACCGATGGATCCATCTTTGCGTACCAGGCAGCATCATATCCATCACCTCTCCCGGCTTGCAGGCAAGGAAACCTGCTGCTTCGACCAAGCCGGAAAAGGCCCTTTGCCGAATCTATAGGTTAGCCTTGCATTCATCTTGGATCCATACAGGTTTCGACGCGTGTCCACCCATGGCAGCAGAGTCTTCCACTCACGGAGGTCTCGGTCGAGGATGCCCGGGAAGAAGCTCAGGCCTCCCTCACCAGCTCCTGACACGCTGTCAGTCTCGCGTTGACATCTTTGCGATTCTTGGAAGGGCTCAATCCTCTTTGCTATCAGAGAGGCATGGAAGCAGTACTTAACCTGACATAGTACGAGTCACGAGTCACTGTTACACAAACCGAAATGCGAAATGCAAGCGTGGATGCATCCTGAAGCACTGTGAGTGCATGTAGCCCCTGCGGCTGTTCCCACAACCAGAATGGGCATGTTGCGCAATGCAGCACGAAGCGCCAAGCTTGTGATGGGCGGAGCGACAGCAGGCCTAGTTGCAGGCACAGCTGGGACGGCGCATCTCGCACAAGGCGGGGGTGGACAAAGCTGGTGGGCGAAGCAGTTCAAGCTGCAGTTCTTTCAGCCCCTGGTTCCCCAGTAGTACCCTTTTGCCCTTTTTTTGGGGGTTCCCTCAATAAAGCCAACTAGTAGGAAAAAGGGTACCCTTATTATTTAGGGGCTACTGGGGAACCAAGGCCCTTCCTTACCCAGAAGAACTCAGCTGCAAGTGATGAGACAAGTTTGAGGGATCTCCAAGCTCTCTACCAGTGCCTTCGCTGCATGCCTGAGGCAAGCTTTTCAAGGGCCCGGCCGGTGGAGTAAGTTATTATTATGAAATATATAACAGATTTAAATACAAGGCTATTGGGTTATTATTCTGAAATATATAATATTAGTCTTGCAACCTAGGAAAAGCATCTGTTCCAGGCATCCAGGGCAAGTATGCATGCCTTGGTAAACAGCGCCGCCAGACGACAGTAGCCGCGGCCAGTCGTGCTAAACCATCCAAAAAGCCGTAAGGCCTACATCCTAGCTTGTCAATGTTTTAAACCCTAAACCCTAAACCGTTAGGCAAGCTTCTGAGGCAGAAGATGTCAGCTCTGGAGCTCGTCGCGGAGATGCACAGGGAGGAACTTACAGAGTTGCGCGGAGATATGAGGAAGGTGAACAGCAAAGCCTCCGAGGGTGCGGTCCTGCCCCCGAATTCGACGGAGGCTGCGGAAAGTCCTTCCCTTGAAAAGAAGCAGGCGGACCTTGCAAACGAGAAGCTCGGACGGGGCTCTTGAAACTTACTTGGAGGATCATGGGACTTAGTAAGTAAGGTTATAAGTGCGTTAGTTGGAGCTATAAGTAGATAGAAGTACAGTTACCTTAATTATAACCCTACATACTAAGTCCCATGATCCTTTAAGTACAGACGCTGTGAGTGTGTGCTTTGTAGCTGCTCGAGGGAGATACCCAGTAGTGTATGTGAGGAGGCCAGAACTGATTGCCAGGACATTTGTACAACGAGCTGAATGAATTGCAGGGGCTGCGTGCGGCAGAAGAGAAGACGCGGGAGGATTTGCAAGGACTGAGATTCATGGGTTAGCTGCATACGTATTTTTGTAAAAGGTAGACAGACGCAGCCCGATGAAATTCTGACATATTCTGACGTTTCACCGCCCTTGAGTTTTGAGGCCAGGCTGCAGGGCAGAATCGACTGATATGCAAGTGCTTGGACACTATGCCCAACTATGCATTGGTTGAAGAGAGTCCATGTTCGCCCTCAACTGCTGATTCCCCACGGGGACGTCTCTGCACATGCCGGTTTCTCGACAAGGCAAGTATGCGTTAAGGAGGTCACGTGGGCCCGCAGATGCCTTGGAATGCACCCTCGGGAAATCGTTTGCCACAACTCAACCCCATCTCAACTCACCTTTAGCATTCAGTAGCTTATTTCGGCGGGAGCTGGGACTGTATGTAGGGAGACGGCCAGTGGATGCCAGTGGTTTAGATAAAGGCGGATTGTACGCTCGACAAAACGCTGTGTTGAACACATTATGACATTATGATGCGCAGGACAGCTCGCTCGGAAAGCTGCAGACGTCATCCAGCTGCAGCAGGCAGCTGTTGCTGTAGCAGCTTCGTGACGTCGAGTTTCGAAAACGCAGCTTTTCGAATGAGTTTGGGATTCCTGTTTGTGAATGCCCCGTCAAGTCAGCATGTGCGCGCAGGAGTTGGATGCAAGGAAGCAGGAAATGGAGCGTGCCAAGAAGTTGAGCAGCGATGACATCGCCGCCCTGCAGAAAACGATCCAATCGCAGCAGCTTGAGAACAACAAGCTCGGACGGGGTTTGAAGTCCAAAGTTTGCTTGCTCCCTTCCATGGCCAATAATCCCTGAACCCTAAACCCCAAACCCTAAACCCTAAACCCTGAACCCTAACTCCATCAGGACAAAGGTACGGTGAACTCAAGAAGAGCGAGGCGAAGAAGGAGCAGACCATCACCGAGCTCCAGCAGCTGCGAATATCAGAAGAGAGAAGCCGGAGCGAGCTACGAGGACCCCATCGAAGCTCCCAAAGCTTCAAGCATTCAGCGTTTTCAAGCAAGGACCGCGGAGGAAGTAAGCCAGGAAGGGACAGAAGCACACACAACCATTGAAACAAAGAACATGTGACAGAAAGAAGGAAAGGAAGGAAGAAAGAAAGGACGAGACGATGAAAAAAGACACAAGTAAAGGAATGAGCAACTGAGTGCGGGGGGTGTTGCATACTTCCACCACTCCTCCTCCTCTTGCGCCCTCCCCTGACCCGTTCTCTTGGATGTTGGGCAAATTTTATTTATTATGGCTATTTATTTATTGTTTTTTTTTTAAAGGGGGGTGGGTGGAGGTAACAGTAAGAATGTGCAGTTTACTGGTGCAAGGTTTTTCGCTTAGCATGGCACGTCCAAGCCATGCCTGCCCAAGCCAAACATCTTTTTCTCAGAGGTCAGTAAAAAAGAAAAGTGAGCCGTATACGATTCAAAGCGAGGAAGAAAACGAAGACAAAGACAAAAGCCAACGGTAAGTCAAGGTGCAACCTGAACACTGAACCATGCTGTGATCCGCGAAGAATCGAGAGCAAGCAACGTGGACAGCATGCCAAGCCGAGCAAGGATATCAGTGACAGTAGGAATGTTGTAAGCAGTTTTCTGCATAAGATTTGAGAAGTGACGCCTGGCTCCAATCAACCTCCGCCTGTGGAAGGTCTATGCAAGCTATTTTGAGGGCAACTGGAAGAACCTTACTTACACAGACTCTCGCCTCTCCTGAATCTTTCTCCGTCAAGCAGTTGTAGTCGATCTGACGTGTCTCTTCACAGGCTCCTGCGGCTCCTGGGACTACATAACTACCAACTTCTAGTTTCCTAGAACAGTTTCTTACACAACGCACATCACAACACAGGGACAGAGTGCAAAGGCCAGGCGGTCCTCATCGAAAGCAGTGCTGGTGAAGTACTGAAGTAACTGTTCCGTAGCCGAATCGTAGCATTACCGCCTTAGGGCTTGGATTGCACTTGCTGTTGGTGCAAACAGCTCTCCCGCCCAGCACAGGACAGCTGAAGCTGAAGGATTCCGAGTTGTCCCAGCTGCAGAAGGTCACCCGGCCGGTAATCCCAGCCCGCAAGATGCATCTTTCGGCTTAGCAGCGAGCATGACAGTGAAGCGACAGGAAAGAGGTGCACTCTGGCTTACTGTTGTCAGGCTCTAGAGAAAGCATCAAAGGAGACGGAAGAAGCCACAAGAGCGAAGGGCCAGGCAGTTGCATCCATGGAAGAGAAGCTGAATGCGCAGAAGATCGAGCACGAGAAGCTAGGACGGGGTTTGCAAGTTAGCTCTGGCACTTGTCCGCATTGAAATACTCGCAAGGGCACTGCTTCGGTTCTTCTTTGGCCACGTGGCAGGAACTAAGTACTCGGAGCTGCAGGCTGCTGGTAAGAAGCAGGAAGAAAGGATTGCAGAGCTGGACGGACTGTATTCGCTGGAGCAGAAAGGTCGAGAAGAGCTACGAGGACTTTTGAACCATCTCATCGCGACAGTATGGAATGCATAGTCTTAGATCTGCGAAGGCTCTGCATCTTGCGCTTCTCTGCAGATGCCTTTCAGTAAAACCCATAAAGTTTGCCCTTACGGCATGAGGACACCGGGTTCTGATTGCTTAGGGCTCAGGAGTCCTCATCTCTGTCCACAGCCATGGCTCCAACTTCCGAACTCCTTCAGGACAGCTCGCCGAGAAGGCTTCGCAGATGGCCCAGCTGCAGCAGGTGGGCGAAAAGCGCAGTCTGTGCCGGATGGTGGAATTGAAACAAGAACGGTTCATGAAGCATACCCGTGATCATGATCATGGCATGCCTTTGCACGCAGACAACAAAGCTCATGTCAGCCGACGCATAGCTGCGAAAGCTCTGATTTTTTCCCCGTAGTTTCGGTTTCCTTCATGCAGGACTTGGACAAGGCAGCACAACAGATGGAGCAAATGGACAAGTCGAAGAGTGATGCGGTTGCAGCAATGGAAGAGACTCTGAACGCCCAGCGCATCGAGCATGACAAGCTAGGACAGGGTTGCTAAGTCACAGCTGCAAAAACATGTAGCCTTACGTGTCCCCACAGCATATCGCAAAATAAGCAGTAGCAGAGCAGTCGCAGCAAGCGTGACACCACTCACAGGCGCCTGTGCTTACCAAGAGCATACCTGGGATGCTCAGGGTCAGAAGACCCCCTAGAATCGGGCCATTATGATTAGTGAGCTACATCAAGCACCCTGCACTGGAGCTTCGCAAAAAGGCAGCTTGTACGTGACCTCAAGGAACCAGCATCGCTCTACCATAGTTCGGGAAGAACCGACAGTGTTGTTGTAAGATTGTGCAGCACACAGGACAGATGCACTCCGCTCTGAAGTCCGAAGACGCAAAGAAAGATGAGAAAATCGCCGAGCTGCAGTCCCTCTATGCATCTGAGCAGAAGGGGCGAGAAGAAATGCAAGGACAGACCTTCAAGAGAGCACTCCCAGTGATACTTCAGAGCAGATGTCCTAAACCCACAACCTAAGTACCCCGTATAAGTTGTACTATAGGGCTCGCACTGTAAGACTAGGCTAGAGGTCAAGTCGGCGTACAGCATGCATGCAGCATTGAGGGGCCGCCATTGGGTTCAAGCATATGTGATGATAAGGTGGTGAATCCTCTAGAAGCATTTGCAACCTCCGTCTGTAGGCATTCCGACCAAGTGGATAACGCGGTAGGAAAAGGGGTCGAAAAACGACCCTAAACCCCTAAATCCTAAATCGTAGCCTAAACCCTACTCGACTAGCCCTTCGCTCAGTGTTGGCCAAGAGTTCCAGGACAGCTCGAGCAGAAAGCGCAAGATCTGGGCAGGGTGAGTCAGGACCGTGCCTACTAATTTGGTTCCCACTGAGGGTTCCTTACATGTATCGCAGGGTTCCTACTGTTTGACGTCTATAGTGAATCCCTCATTCCGAGTCCGCATTCTGTTGCGTTTCTGCTTGTGGCTACGATTATTGGCTTTTTGCTGTGTGCCAACCTGTCCTTGCTCCCATCATTGTTTTGTCTATGGGCCACCATTATCGCCCACATTAAGATCGCATATAGAAGTCGTCGTCATGGCATTATTGATTATGATCCCTGCTCTCCTTGCTAGTTGATCATCACGGTCTTTTGCTCTAACTGCCCTCATTTCCATCCTTGTCCCTCCTAAGCCCTTATCCCCTAAGCCCTGACCTAGACCCTAAACCCTAAACCTTAACCTACGGATATGTCAGTGTGATTGATGTGAACCCTAAACCCTAAACCCAGAAACCCTAAACCCTAAAGATTTCTCCTCTTCCGGCCTGGCTTTGAATCAGGGGCTTGAGATCGCCATGCGGGACATGGCTGCCTTCAGAGCCTCGAAAGCCGAGGACAGGCTTGTGCTGAACGGGTTGCAGGGTTTTGCCTTCCAGGGTGCAGGGTTTAGGGTTTAGGTGTAGGGTCGAGGTATGAGTTCAAGGAAGTCATTAGTTTGTTGGTTAGGGTTTCAGGGTTTAGGGTTTAGGGTAAAGATCTCTGGAGCCAACGCCACCGAAAGGTCGGATGAAGAAGGCATCGATGCACTGTTCTAGTGCAAACTTCCGGAATCTTGCGGATGATGGAAAAGCCTTCCCGGAGACGCAACCCTGACGTAGACCAACGCGTTGGTAGGCGGTGCGAAGTTCTGTGAAGCGCAACGTCACAGTTCCTGTGAAGGAGCTACGCAGCCTGGCTGAGGCCATGAAGCAGAAAGAGGCTGCTTCTTAAGCTTAAGCATGGATCTCTATAGTGCCACCTACCTGCATACATACATATATACATACAGTTATACCTACATAACTGTTACATAACTACCTACCTGCCTGGTAAGCTGGGGGGAGCTGTGGATCGCTTTGGCCCAGGCGCTGCTTTCGGAGGCTCAAGGAGAATTGGAGAAACTCCGGGCTCGGGAGCAGGAGGCCTCTTCCCAACTGCAGAAGCTGCAGAGCCCCGCCTGCAAGCAGAGCGCCTCGTGTTTCGGGGATGCCTAGAACACAGCATGTGTGACGAAGGGATCTGGGTGGGTTGTTTGAGCAGTGGCCACCCTTGCATTGCATGGAGCATGCATGATGAAGCAGTCGGTTCTGACATGTGCAGAGAAGTTTTGAAACTTACGTGTGTCAAGTATGGTCTCGGTTGCGTCGTTTGATCTGCCGATGCGTGTAAGGCAGTGGAAGGATGAGTGCGAAAAGATTAAAGAGCGCTTTCTTCGGGAGAAGCTCTCGCACATTAAGATTGATCTGTAGGCAAAGTGTGACCACGCAGAACACCTGCGAGGTTTACACCTGGGCCTACTGAATCTGCATTCCTGGTGGTTCGAAGGTTGTGACAACGTATCGAAGCCAGCACCCGTAGCACATATCAGAGGCAAGGCCTGAGGGCGATCATCCGGCACACTTCCTGTGCCACTTCTCCGTGGACTCCCTCTGAGCATCGCTTGAAAAATCCTCGAGACTGCACGCGATTGACACGGCCCACATTTGCGTTAGGTTTGAAGGACATCCGCTCCAAGACATCCCAGCCGGCAGGCAGTCGCTGCGGTGCCAAAGGCTTTAGCATCTTCATCTTCTTCCTCCTCATCTTCGTCCGATGCTCAGCTATTTGCTCTTTTAGGGAGGCGTAACTGTTGTCAAGCTTGCCATGAGTAGGCTGGCTTGCACAGGCCACAGTCGAATCTGAACAATCGGGTAGGTTGTTGCAGCATCTCTTTAGCTTGGCGTGGCAAGACGTATTCACGCTGCTTGGAGGTCGTCCTCTTCCTCCTCTACTTCGCAGGCGAAGGGGGCAGGCACACCCTAAACCGGCTGTACGAAACTCTCCTTGATTGTTACAAGCATTTTCAGTGGATGTTCGTCATGTTTCTGGTCGCTGTCAGTGCTATCATTTCCATGATTATCAGAGTGTTGTCGGCATTGTCGTTGCCGTCCTCTGGATTCTCTGGAGCACCTTGGCTCGAGCCACGTGCATCTGCCAAGTGGCGATTCGCTTCACCTCGAACCCCACCCCCTGCGCTTATGGTACGGGCACGACTTACGCACCATGTCTGAGAGCTAGGGGAGTGCTGCTCTTGCCCATACCTACTCGGTCTTGTTTCAGATTGCTGATGCCATGGATAAAGCGGTCGCCCTTCAATTGGTCCGGAGATGCCTGCCGCTCTTCGAGAGCAAAGGCAGCAACCCGCAGGGATCCCATGAGTATACGTAACATGAACCCTCACCCTCCTCACCATGCCTTTGGTCATCCTCATTTCCAGCATGCCATCATCATGGTTATCACTAGCATCACCATCATCATCGTCATGATCACTCATCTTTCTTATCACCATCAGAGCATCCGCATCATTGTTCTAATGGCTTTCATTGCCGACCCTCAGAAGTGTGCCAGCTGTACTCGTAATTTGTGCTTTTGATCAGGGAGTGGGCATTCCTGAGACGGGATACCGATACAGGTAGGGAGGGATGGTGTGACTCGTGGTGCAGGTCTTGCCAGCGTGGGGGAGATCGAGGGTGTCCGACCTCGCAACTTGCAGCTTGACAGCCCCGACATGTCAGACGTAATGGATATCTTGAGTCTTGAGACACGAAGATGTGCTGCGGGCTTAAACTAAAGCTTCCGGCATCTCCAGGAGAGCGAAACACCTTTGCTTGCGAAAGTTCGTAAATGCCGACACTTTACGGCTGGGATTAGAGTTCAGGGATTTGGGTTTAGAGTCTATCTCGGCTGCCAGCCTCCCACCCCGAACTTGAGATTGAGAGCAAGGGCAACAAACGAAGCTTGCAAGCAGGAATGTCTAAACGGGCATGGATTGGTTTAGGGGTCACCTTGAGCTACTTAGACGACACCGAAGCGCCCATGCCGAGACAGTCGATCTTTGCTTGATCTGCAGGCTGGGATTATGGACTGGTATGGGAAGTGTTGACGAAATCGAGGCTGCGGGAACGGCTGAGGGTGTACTGTGGGGTTTGCTGTTCTCTTTCGGTTCGCGAAGACAAGCGATACTGCTCAGACGATTAATATCTTTAGTAATGCTTTCAGTATTCACTGCATCGATCATTTTGGCCGCCTTGATTTTGAGAATGGTGTAAGTGCAAGAATGAAAGATGAAGCAATCATGGCTTTCGCAGAGGGCATTATGAGAGCCGTCGCCGTCGTCGTCGTCGTCGTCGTAGTAGTAGTAGTAGTAGGAGCAGCAGCAGCACCACCAGGACGGGAGCAGGCGCAGGAGGAGGAGGAGGTAGTACAGCTGGCAGTGACAGTAACAGCTGTAGCATCAGCAGCCATAGAAGTATGGGTTGTCGTGGCAGTCGACGTCGTCGGCATAGTCACAGTTAGTTGCGGTCAGAGTCGTGGTCGTGGCAGTGGTAGTGGCACCAGCAGCAGCACAAGCAGCAGTCAGCACGCGGGCAGGGAGGGAGGTAGGGAGGTAGATGATAGTAGTGGAGAGGAAGTACTAAGTAGAAGGAGTAGTAGCAAAATAATACTACCGTAGCAGAAGCCGTGGTAGCCGCACAAATATGCATAAAGAGAAGCCTATCAATGTTGCAGCCAATAAGAAACTACCTTTCGGTGATGCTAGATCGCTAGACAGCCAGCAAGTTTACAGGTCGCCGGGAAGACCGCCACGGAGACCATTGTCGTGAAATCCATCGGTGCATTTGCTACACAAGCGGATTGCACTTTGCGAATTGCGCTAGCCCACGGCCAGAAGCCGGAGGACACGCAAGCAGGAAGCCATAGTCATAGTCCGAGGAAGAAGCCTGCAGCCGAGCTTGCAAAGGTTCACATAAAAAGTTGGACGATGAGCTAGCACTGGTGGACCACATGTCCTACTACAACGAGGCCGCACACGCAACTCTGAAACGAAAGCAGCTGACCAGTCTTCATGCACCCTAGACGGAGTACGATGCAGATAGAAGATGACTCTCGTAAAGCTTTCTAAACACAGCATCCAAAGTGCGAGTGCTGACTTCCTTCGAGAAGACTCCAGCGTCGTCTTGCAGAAGTTTTGATGTGTCTAACTATAAGTATTATGGATATACATATATATATATATAGAGAGAGAGAGAGGGAGAGAGAGAGAGAGAGTAGTGTAATATACTGTATGCCAGGTTCATCACACCCACTCTTACATGTACATATATTAGTATGTACATATAGGCACTGACTGTTCATGCATTGGTTTGTTGACAGGCGCGCACACACATACACGAATACATACGTACGTACGTACGTACGTACGTACGTACGTACATACGTACATATATACGTACATGATGTACATACATACGGACATACATACATACCTACATACATACATACATACATACATACATACATACATACATACGTAGATACGTACATATTGATGTCCCACAGTGGCACATCGTATGCTGAGCTTTCTGAAGGCCAGCTTCTACGAGTCCGACCTGGCGGACCGAATTTGCGACAGCGGCGCGCGCTGTCCACGGCCATTGCTCGTCGACCGCTCCAAGGACGAGCTGCAAGCAACGGGCACATGTTATCTTGTTATTCTGATTCGTTTTTAGTACTAGTCCTTATTTGGTTATCATGATAGTTCTCATTAGTGGTATTATGTTTGTTGTTATCTACCAATATCATTGCTAATACTACAGTCGCTATTCAAATTTGTTATTGTTAGCAGCAGTATCAGTAGTATTATATCATAAAGAATTAGTTTTGCGGTTGTATCCATTGTTGCCACTTTCACGAGTCTTACGTTGCTACTCTTCTGAGTATTCTTCTCGTTCTGATGATGATGGTTCCTGATGATGTAACATTACGTCATTTAGGGCTTCAATATAGTATGGTATTGTTGCATAGATGTGTGTGTGTCATACTATTGTAGGATTCAGCTTCATCAGGTCGTTGGCTTTAGGCCCTGAGAAGACAGGCAGCAGTTTGCGATGCCGGTGTCGCAATCTTGTAGATAGTTCTGCAGTGCGTCCATGCATGTTTTGCACATCTGCAATTCCCGGCAGCTCACCCCACTCTGAAGGACGGCGAGGTCACAATATGCAGCTCCGATTCATGTTTGGATCGTGGGCCAGAGGGGTTCAAGCGATTGCTGTTGCAGGCGGTAGGCTGAGATCAGAGCCTGCAGCTTTGAGCTCTTAAGGGGCATGCAGCCCCGCTTCGGGGCTGTCCTAGCAAGAGCACCAGGGGCTTGTGCACCTCTTCCGAGGTATGACGAAGCTTCCAGGCCGCGGATTCTCCCGCAGTCCAGAACAGACGAGCCTCGCTCAGCTCAGCTCCAAACCCCGTCCCCCGGACCCATCCCAGATCATCCCAGCCTGCCGGTGAGAAGCTGCTCGCCCAAGGAAAAGATCCTTTTTTAAGTCTGCGGATTTCGTGGCTTCTGTCTCGACTTGTATGTTCGGTAGATTGATTGCTTGCTGCAGAGTGAGGAAGGCCGCTCTTTCTTGGTTGGCCCGGCTGCATGCCTGCTTCTGGGGCAAGCGAGCGGATGCAGCGATGGCAGTGCCGGCAGCTTAGTTGCGGGAAGGCCGCCCGAACGCTGCCCGCCAGAAATGATCAATCAGTCCCAACAAAGGGAACGTAATGGGAAGGATCAGCTGGAGAGAGTGGAGAAAGGCCTTCTTGCAGGATTACTTGGAGGGTAGACCACTGCAGGTCTGACCTCTCGGGCCAAGCATGCTTCTGGCACCTGGACACCCGCCAAATCGAGCTGAAAAACATGCCTCAGGACCGAGTGGGCCAGTTCGAAGGATTCCAGTTGTAAACACTCCATGCCTTCGAAGGGGACTTGGTTTTCATCACGCTTCAAAAAGCCCTCGCGCTTTGTCGCAGAGTATCGCAGAGTCTTCTATGCCATACGAAGTATGCAAGTTTGGCATCTTGTACTCGGCACTTTTACACTCCAAACCCTCTGGTGACTTTGACAGGATGCACTTCGCTGGGCTGCGAAAGGCATCGATGCCAGGCTGAAGGTGGCCGGAGAAAAGCATCAGCCTGCACTCGGCTTTCTCGAGGAATCGATCTGCCTGGCAGGCAGACAAGATGCAAACACTTTGTCATGGTGACCCAAAGGGCGCAAATATCATGTGGGATGAAGAGGCGCGGCACCGGAGCACCCACCTCAGAAGCCGGCAGCTCTTCATGATTCGAAGGCGGGAGTCTCGTTCTACGACTTCCAGTGGTTCGGCAAAGCTCCACCCACGAAGGTGCTACCCTCTCACGTCGCTGTTTTTGCACACCACTTGTGGACTAGCTGAAGCATGCTGAAGCACTGTGCCGAACCTGTACCTGTGTGGAGGGTGAAGAACAGCATAACATGTTCCGGAGACAGGATCTCGCCTATTTCTTTGGCGTCGCCGCCGCTGGCCTTTCCTCTGAGGAATCTGAAAGGGAACTGCTCCGCTTCTATCACGGAGAGCTCTCCAAGCTGCTGGTGCCGTCGATGCACGCAGAACAGAGACCTCTGAACGCGTCCGCAGCTCGTGGATTCGGCTGTTCTTGCTTTTGCTGCAGTTGCTGTTGCTGTTGTTTGAGCTTCTGTCACTTCTTGGTAGGCTCTCTTGCCTGTGGGGATGTACACTGTGCTGCAGAGCCCAGGAAGCTCAGGAGGATGCAGTTCCGGACTTCGAGTACCTTTGGAATTCCTACCATCTTGCTCTCTGTGATCTGGGCAGGTGGATGAAAGGCGGCCAGGATGACTAGCGCTTGTGGTCACTGTGTGTCTCGTGCTCGAAGTTCATCGAGTTGTTCGGCCTTCTCATCACCCGAGGTGGCTTCAGTTTCGGAAACACGCGCCTGATTTTTGGACATGTCCAAGCTCTCCTGAAGTCGCTGGATGGCCTCAAGGAGAAATCTGAAGAAGTGTACCAGGCTCCTTAGCTTGCACTGAAGCACGTCATCTGAGTGGCAGGGGAATACCGTGCTGCATAAGTAACCAAGGACAAGATCTTCGAGTTGTATCCGCCGTGACCTAGCATACCGATAGTCCTGGCATGCCTGATGGTGCTTCCCATGCTGCGTTCAAGCTGATGACTGAGTTCTGCTGTAATAAGCCGCGTGCATGTATTTCAGAGTCCAACCTGCGCTGCGACCGCTGCAGCAAGGATGCGCAACCCAATACACAGTTCGATGAGTTCGAGTTTGTGCTGTCAAGCAGCTTCCAAACTCCACATAGTGCATTCGCAGTCCCGACTTTTTCCAACCTTCCGGGTTGCTTTTGCAAACGGATGCCTCTCGGCCACAGCAACGCGAAAAGCAGAGTCGAAGCTCAGAATATACTCTGATGATAAAGACTAGTACAAGAATACTAGACATGAAAAACAATAGCTATACTAGTGATAGTTACTGTAATTATTAATGCTGTAGTTACTGTAGGTCCAGGCTTAACAATACCCTGTTAATGTGATTTGATATGTGTTTTATGGTCATTGTTATCACTATTTCTGTTGTTAAAGTAAATTTTCTTTATTGTGTTTTATTTTATCATCATGATCATGATTGTTATTGTTGCTGTTGGGGTCACCATCATTGCTATTTCCAATATACATATCTAAACATGCGTGTGTGTGTGTGTGTATGTGTACATCTACATATATTTATGTGTGTGTGTGCTTGTTTTTGCTAGCGCATGGATTACTGTCGTGCGTTTCTGCTGTTTTCGGGACTTTGCAACCATCATCATGGTCGCAGAGGAATTCCTCGGTATTTACAGGCTCTGGCGCGTTTTAAGCGAGCACGTGTGCGAAGAAATCTGCAGACTCCTTCAAGCATCTTCCCCGTAAGACCCTCCATACAACAGTAACTAGACAGTCCCCCAGCCCAAAAATAAGACCCAATACATAAAATTCCGCCCCCGTCGAAAACCACGAGTTTCAACCTCAAACGCGCCAGAGCATGTAAATACCGAGGAATTCCTAACCTGTACCGACCGATATGGCATTTATCTTTTTGTCACCCGAAATCGTGCTGATACCACACGTTTGCTAGCACTCAAGCATAACGTAGCACTTTTTTTACTACCCAAAACAACTTTAAAATGTGCTTAAAACTGTGGTCAGAACACAACTTCACCAAAAAATCAACGACAAAAAGCCATGCAGCGGGTTGTTTTTCTATCAAATATTGAATCAAACAAACATCAGACCTTGGGCATGATGTACTGCATGTTACTAGATATGATGTATGGTCTGTATGGTGTTCTAGCATATGGTACTGTGTCACTGTTGATTGTGTTTTCGTGTACGTTAATACATTCGATTGTGTTGTATTCTATGGCCTCGTACGATTTTATTTTTTATATTGCTATTATATACTATAGTATATTGTATTGTATACTATGGAGATGTCTACCTCGGATATTTGTTGCTCGTGTCAGGGCCGTCAACGGCGGTGCCGGCCGCAGATCCCGTGGGAGACTCAAAGGGCAGCTTGTCCGAAAACATGGTCCGAAATTGTTCGATCTTCCGCTGTTTGAGGCTCCAGCCCATGAAGGCCCCTTGCGCAGCCGTTGCTTATTGAGATTCTTCTCCAGCCTGCTAGGCCGTGCTACGCGTACTGGGGGCTTCACAGTGCGGATCGAGTATGAAGATGAGCCCTCTGCGCAATCTGTCAAACTGCGAGTGTGCTCAACGCATTCTCGAGGTTCACGCGACCCGATGTTGTGTTTCATCTCGGAAGCTGTAGAACTGTAGCAGTCGTCCAATTCGTACAGAAAGCTATGAGTTGACGACAATGCTGTCCAATGCGCCCACCCCATGAAGCTCTTGGTGTACCCATGTGGTCATGTAAAACCTCTTTACTTCAAGTTGGCAGTGCGACATTGTCAGCGCCTGAAGTTAAGACTTTCCGTGACGAGACGATGCCGCATTAATTACGCCGGCACCCTCTTCAAACACACCAAGCAGTAGGCATTTCCTACTGCAGATCTTCGGGGAGGCTTCAGTGGGTAATTCAAAGGAAACAAAGCTCTTTGGATGAAGAGCCTCCATTTCATACTACGCCGCCTTTCTTGTGCAGATGCAGAACCTGGGGTTGGCCTTATCTCCCCGGAACCGGAGGACGGGAAAGAGGACACCTCTGCAGCTCAGAGTCAAAGTAGATTCGAACGACAGTGCTTCTGCCGTAAGCGGTATGTTGAGCTTGATCTTCATGAGCATGGCAGTCAGGAGCATTCGCCTCTCCCAGTGCCTCCGGGGGTGGAGACACCAGCATCGCCAGCAACGCCGCCAGAGCTACAGCCCGAAACCTGGAAATCTCGCAGTGACGACTAGACTCTGGAAGGCAGCGTCGCATCCATGGATTGGCCCGTGTTTCTACTAGCTCAATGTCCTTATTGCTAAGGAGACTGTTTGCTTGCACGACTTCTGTTTCTTCGGAAGGTCACGACAGCGGAACTGCGTTGTTATTCTCGCTGTTACGGAGGATTACAGCTACTTCTCCTATGCCTGCACTCCCCACTGAGGATGAGGGTACTCCAGATACTGAAGGGAATATTGCTTCCCTTGTCATCATCGACGTCATCATCACCATCATCATCATCATCATCACCATCATCATCATGGAAATCATCATGACCATCTTCGCGAACATTGCGATCATGGAGTGTCTTGCAGTACATGTCGATGTTAGGGTTCCTGATGGAGATCTGATGATGACCACCTTCGAGCTATTGCTCGGGTTCGTGCTTGTCCTTCCGAATTTTGGAGTTCATAAGTCGAATCATGGTTCCTATTCTGTGTTCCACCGGCTGTCTTCTGCCCCCGTTCCACAAGCTTGTGGTGCCTTGCCTGTCCTGTGCCACATACTATCAAACACAGGCGCATCTCATCGCATGTCTCAACATTGCCGCTTAGTTTTCGGTTTCTGCTCGTCTGAAAGAGATCCGCTTCCTAGATCCGCTTGCCTTCCTCGATTTCAGTTTAGATGTGTGGAGTATGTGGAATGTTCGTTGGCAATTGCCAAGATGTCCACGGCCTCTTCTTGCGTATTTGGAACTTCTCTCCCTCGAGCTTCAAAGCTGTCTTCTTTGTGTGAAAAGTCATGCCGGTGGCCTGCGCTCGCCCACCTGAAACTCTTAGCATCTCCTACTAAATTCCTATATCTCCAGACTCGCCCCTCAATTTCAGCAAAGCACTGCCCAGCTGCCTTGCTGCATTGGTCTTTGGCGACCGCTGAGGTCACCAGGGCCCGAGGATGAGAATGGGATGCCAGGCCTGGAGCCGAAGTGCGGGGACCGCCACGGGAGGCTTCGGCAAGCCGACCCTAAGCTCACGCCAGGTGTCTTCCCGCACAACCGGCCCACGAGCTGGGTGGAGGTCAGAGGCGTAACGGAATAGGTCCAAGAAATATCGAAGCTCCTGTCAGGTTGAGGGCGAAACCATGGAAGATCTGCAGCGTGAGCTCGAGGTGCCACCCTGTCACATCGAACCGCACTTCACGAGAGTCGCTTCGACGCAGGTTGTGACCTGTCCAAAGCCCTGCATATCTACGGAGACCCAGACGGAAGATCCTCCTGAAGAGGTGCCGGAGGACTCCCTGGGCGAATGCAAAGGGCAGAGTGAGTCTGAGTGGTTCCTGCTCCGTGGATCCTAGACCCTACACCCTAAAGCCCTTAACCCTGGACCCCTAAACTCCTAAACCCTCAACCCCTAAACCCTAAACACTAAACCCTTGAACCCTAAACCCTAAACCCCCAAACCCTACACCCCTAAACCCCGAAACCCTAAACCCCTCAACTGAGAGCCCGATCCCACAGCGCAGACCCGAAACCCTAAACCTTAAACCCTAAACCCCTAACCTTAAACCCTAAACCCTAAAGCCTAAATCCTTGAACCCTAATCCCTAAACCCTAAACCTCAAACCCTAAACCCTAAATCCTTGAACCCCAAACCCTAAACCTTAAACCCTAAACCCTAAATCCTTGAAGCCTAATCCCCAAACCCTAAACCCTAAACCTTAAACCCTAAACCCTAAATCCTAAACCCCTAAACCTTAATCCCTCAACCCAGAGGACTGTGCAGACCGCTGGTTCTCGGGCTTCGTCGACGCGGTTCCAGCTCGGAGTTCTCAGCCCGCCAAGGCGCTCCTTGGGTTCCTCCCTATCTGTGCGATTTGTTTTGTGATATATATATATATTACTATATATATGTGTGTATATATATATATGTGTGTGTGATTACATTCTGGATATCCTTCAGCAGACTGCATGTTGAGTAGCTTGTGATATTCATTCTGCTGACTTCCGCTGGCAGGTTGCCACCGACCTGAATGCAGAGGCCGGGGATTGGGTGTTTCCATGAGCAGGTGTTTCGTGACCTTCTGCGGCTTGGAGTTTCTATCTTTTGACAGTGGTTCTCTGCAGGCGGCTAGCTCCTCCGACTCTGACTCCGACAGCAGTGACAACGAAGAGGTTACCATGCACGCATGTCATTCTTCTACGACCGCTTAGTTCTTCGTCATATGATTTCACATGCAAAGCATGAGTTGTGACTTTTGAAAATTCCGAGATCTCATCTCGAACGTTGCACACTGTGCGAGGTCACCTGCAAGCCCGAGCGGCAGATACGCCGTCGGTCCGCTGGCAGCCGGAGACCTTCATGTGCTGGTCACTGGTCCAAGTGGAGATGGGCCTTTGCATGTAGTGCGGCCTAGGCCTGAGCCGTGATCGCGGGGATGGGCCGCAGCCTCTGTTAAAACAGGCCTTATTTATCCGAGTACATCCACCCATCTATCTTAAATGGGTATAGTCTATGTATGTGTATGTACTACTTCGATACTCCTACTGATTGCTACTAACAGCGATGTGCATATCAATATCAACCATATAGCGATATTGGCCTCTTTTTCTGCACGATTAAAATGACATTGACTGCTGTGATTTGTCTGCTCCCCAGCATGACAAGCCGAGGCCACAAGAGCCCGAAGCAAAGCACGCAACAGCCGTGCACCCGGTACTGTACGAAGCTCTCATCTCATCTTTGATTGTTGGGCTGCCAGGCAGAGCCCGAAAGCAGCAGCAGCAGCTCTTCGTCGTCCAGCAGCGACTGGGATCCAATAGCCTTGTGTTAAACTTCATCCCTCTGGTGAACTGTGCTGTTGTCTTTGCCCTAAGATCTTCACAGTGCCTCCGCCTGCTTAGTCATCATGATGCCGTGACATCGCAGCATGCTGCAACCACTTCTCGTAAACATGCTGAAGTGGGAATCAGGCCGGGGGATTCAATGCCTCATTCTCGCAGAAACTGCAAGTCAACGTGGCTGCATGGCCACAAGCATTGCGCGGTCGCAAGTCTAGCAGCCAAGCTCATGTGCAAACGAAGATCATAACTACTTGCCACTTATCCTAGCCGTCTAGCCATCCATAAAACAAAAATGTGAAATCGTCAGATGAAGTGAATTGCAGCAAAGAGTCACGCGGATTGCGGATTCCATAGATGTATGTCGGTGGCCTTGCTCGCCGGGCCGAATGCTGGATAATATGCGCGTGCTGCCATGGAGTTTGAGCGTGCTTTGTTTCGCATTCATCAGAAGACGCTCCTCGCAGAGCCACTGCGGAAGCTGCGGGTGCAGTCTGAGCGGATCTTGCCAGCCATCGTGACGGTCCATGTGCTCTTGTTGGCAGCACTGCATAGCTCCTACGTTGGCCAAGCGAGTTGCCTACCGGAAGTTCTTCAACGAGCAGGGCTTTGGAACGACACAGCTTCGAGACCGTACCTGCCAGAGGATACTTTGCTATACCTGACGATTACGCTTGGTGACGGCGTCACAGGGCTGACCATCGTCGAAGCCGCAAACCGATCCAGCGCGAATCATCTTCGACTTGAAGATGCTTCCGATGTTTTCGGTACCTATCGCTTTGCTCTGGACCGCGAGATAGTGCAAATGCGGAAGCCGGTCTTCGACAAGCACAACTTCGAGGTGCGAAACGTGTCGCTGGCGCAAGGTTGCCTCGCGCCCTTGACCCCCCTAGCGGATGCATTACATTTCTTCAATGCTTGGGACGGCCTGGTAATAAATGAGTTGGCTTACAGCCTTCGGTCTCGAGGATATCTCGAAAGGGTGGATGGCGATGAAGTTCTTGAGGCATGGGCCTGGACCAAAGAACAAGTTGAGGCCCCAAATCCTGAGCAAGGGCGCTCCTTGCTAGCCTCGCTCTTCCGCAAGCTTCTTATACTGCTCGGCTCTATGCTGTCCTTTGCATTAATTTCTGCAGTCACAGGACTCTTCATACGCATCGCCGTGCACGGTTCCGCCGTGCTCATGTTTCCGCTTGCATTAGTGGCACAGACGATGGGCCTGAGCTCGTCCAGGATGTCGATAAACGTGCTCTCCCGCAGCTTTCCATGGATTGGAGTCCACGTGGATGTTTTGCGGCGTGGCAGTCGTCCGGTTTGGCCGCTGCTTCGATCGCACATGGCATTTCTGCTTGTGCAGTCTTTCGCATACTTGAGTTGCAATCTGGCTTGGAGATTTCTTCTTTATCGGAAATCCTCTCCAGAGGGTTTTGAAGAGAACATCTTTAGCTTGTGTTCGCTGCTTGAGCTTTTCAACTTGATCTTTGTGCGATCTCCGTCTTCGGCAGCGCTGTACCCGAAGGTTGCCAGTGCATGCGTCATTTATCTCCACTTCTACATATTCTGCTCACTGTATCCGTTTCACGGCCTGGCATTTCTGACTTGTGTTGGAGCTTGTGCATATGTCATGGTATACTGCCTAAACCATTTCGAAGAACCGGCTCTTCGGGCAGACCCTTTCAACAACAGTACGCCCACGGTGGCTCATCCACGAGCTTTGTACCTGCCCCTGTTGTCGCCGTCGTGGACCATTGAAGCAGCTCCGCTGTGGACCATGTTCTACCCGCCGGAGAATGCGTCTACGTTCCCGGAAGATGCTATGCGCCACATACAAGCTGAAGAGTACAACATGCCATGACGCAACATGTCAGCCTGCGACGACGGGCGAGAAAAGCGAACACACTCACCGAGAGATGCCTAGATGGGTTAGATAGCAGCAGTTCCCCTGCATGCCTTCGCTTCGTCCTACAGCCATCCTTACCAGCAAAATCTTCACTACAACTGGGAGACTTGAATATTAACGCTGAAATTAAACAACGTGTGCAACAGTACTTACTTAGTGGTGATAACGGCAAAGCAGCCAATCCATCCACGTTCTTAAGAGTTAAACCGGGGCATGCATCATTTCAGCCAAACAATAAAGATGCAGGCGACGCCACAAAACAGACCTGAAACCACGAGAAACAGTCACAGGCATCAATATGGTTGATCCTGCGCAGCGAGATTTCGGTCATGCTGGGAATGAGAAGAAGACTGATAGGTGGCTCTCGGCAGCGACAGCGAGCTCCTTCTTCAGACGAGGCTTCGATAGAGCTGGGCCAAAGGTTTTTCTGATACTGTAGGAGGCTTTTGAATTTAATGTGGGTCCTGCTTTGGAGGATCTGCACTGGGATCCCTTCCGATTTGAAAGTCCTGCAAGCCTCGCAGGAAGCAGCAAAGGCCGAAGGCAAGGGACCAAGCTTGACGAGACGCGCAAGTATGTTTCGGCAGAGTACGTCGTGGCACCTGCTGCGTTCACTGTATCGATTACGTGACCACCTTGGACCGTTCAAGCTGAGTTTCCGTCTACACGTGCTTATAAAAGTGTAAGCAAGGTACAGCTCCTGCCAGCGAGATGCAGGGAGCTCAGAAAGAAGCAGGCTCTGATTTCAAGACGTCCTTGATTGTTGTATGTCCTCGCATCCTACACCATACCAAAGTATGCTATACTACAATACTGTGCCTTCCTACGCTTGTGTGCAGTGTGCTGAAGCCAGGCCAGTGGATCCGCGCAGTCGCGTTGTTCAGGACATGCGTTAAAAGCCGATCAATTTCTTCATGATGACTTCGTGTTTCCTGTTCTGGTGAAGAGGACTACTCCGACGTCTTCTGATCTGACAGAATGCGTCGGCAGTGAGATTAGCAAAGCGTGGGGAAATTCAGTTATCGAGGATGACATTTGGGGTCTTGGGACATCTCAGAATTTTCCCCAGCTTGTTATGCCAGCTTGGCCAGCTGCGGCTGGCCCTTCTCACCCAGCAACCACATGACCCTGCCCATTTCGGCCCGCAAAAAGTACGACTGTTGACCGGGTTGTATGCAACACCTGCATTGTTTGGATTGATATTAAGTCTGTGACTGCGAGTCATCGTATTGACTTAGAGTCCGGGGGGCCCCCGGTTTTGTTGATGTACTAACACATGTACGCAAGAACTGGCTGCGGTAGGCTCAGAAGAGCAGGTCCACCTCTGCTGTGGGCACCAAGACTCTTTGAGATCTACTCTACCACCTGCACTCTGAAGTATGGGAAGGTGCACAAGCCTGGGAATTCAGGCGCAGCCGTTTTGTTCAATGGCCTTGTCTCAATGTTGAGTTTGTCTTCATGTCCAGACTTGGCTTCTGGATTTCAATGCTTTGCGGGATTTGTCAGATCGTAGACCTTATTCGCAGTAGGCTTTAGGTCAGATAGTAGTTCCTTTTGGGGGTTCCTATCTAGAATCCTATAAGGTAATCCCAAAAAGGAACTACTATGGGGCCTGAGGGTAGGCTTTAGGTCAGCCTCTCGACGAACCGATGCTGGAGGCTGCGCCCTCAGGATGCAGCTGCATCCGCACCCAGACGGTCCAAGAGGTCAAGAAGCTCACCTGGGATTGCCGAGAGCATTCACGGAATGGGAATGTCATCCGTCCAACCTACAGCCAGGTCTTTCCAATCGATACCGCAATGTAGTGCCACTGCCAAACGGCACGAGCCGTACGACAAGCGGTGTCAGTGGTCCGCACCCTGTGGCACCCTGCGGCGCGGACAACGGCACGGCGTGTGGAGCCAGCATCCGGCACTTGAACGGAAACGCGCGTGCAAGCTGGTCGTCCAGCGCCGAAGCTCCGATTCTGCCTGAATCAGGTCAGTCGCCACTCTTGACGGCACCTGCTCACCCAGCACGTCAAAGAGCCACTTCGAAGGAGGAATGGCAGATGACAGCCCAAGATGGAAACCAGCGCGAACAGGAAAGCTTCACGACAAAGGCCTTTGCATCCGAAGTACCCATTTCTGCCATGCGCTCAGACAACGTGAAACTGCGGTTCCCCCTGGCACAAAGAAGGCCAAAGTCAATAGTTAAGTGCAGCTCAGGATGCAGATCCAGCTGAGCAGAAGGCTTTGGGACTTCGAAGTGTGGGAAAGGGCCTCCGTTTTGATCTCCCCTTGCAGGCGCGCGGTCCTCCGCAGCCAGCCAGGACTTTGTCCGGCCCCTAAGCGAAGGGCTGCCCAGATTAGCTCATCGAAGGTCCTTTTTGGTTCGCATGTTACTGTGAGAGGAGCGCCCCTGCTTAGTTTAAGTGCCCTGGCATGGTGTGGAGCTTCGTTTCTATGGGGATTTTTTTTGCATTCCCGCGCAGACTGCGCTTTGCACTTTGCTTAGGCCAGGTCCTGGACAAACCGTTGATTGGTTCCTTTGCTCCCGCTTGCACAATCGCTTTGGGCCACAAGAATCTACTGTAGCTTTTGGCTCGTTTTGTCAATGGAGCTTGGAGAAAGGCCTTTAACAGCGCCGAGCATAGTCACGTAGAAAGAGGTTCGGGAATGTAGCTAGCTAAGCGCGTAGGACTCAGTAAGGGGAGAAGGAGCAGGAGGAGTAGGAGGAGTGGCAGTAGTAGCAGTAGTAGTAGCAGTAGCAGTGGCAGTGGCAGTAGCAGTTGTAATAAGTAGTTGCAGTAGTAGCAGCAGCAGTAGCAGCAGGAAAGTACATACGTACTCCATCGGGCTCGCAAGGATAATCTTAAAGCCTCAGTTTCCAGCTAGATTTGACAGTGCCTGTGACTTTTCCGTAGACCCTAACTTTCCAGCCCCATTTAATTTAAGGCCGGCTGATTTCCTGCTGGGTCGTTCCAAGAACAATGAGGACCCGGCCTTTCCTTGTCAAAGAGCTCGGTTTTTTTGGGTTTGGGGTTGGGCCGTGGGCGCCGCATAAGTAGCAGGCCGGCCGATGAAACAAGCATTGAGTCTCGATGCAGAAATTTGTTCATCTTGATGGTTCGGAACGAAAGGTTTGCGCTCTAAGGGGGGTTTAGGTGTCATTTTGGGTCGTTTAGGAAAGCTGAACTGCCCTGTGGGAAGCCACGGACAGCTTGACCGCGCAGGTTTGCGGGCAGTCGGCTAGAAACCAGTGCAACCTGTCGGCCTCGGATGGCCAGGAACTGTTCAGAGTGGCGTGCTCTGGTGCGCAGAGGCTGGCAGGTGAAATCGCGGATGGCTCAGATGGAATGGAGGGTGAAGCGGATGCGAACAGGAATGCCGCAGAAGCAATGCGTAGAGTTCCCATCACCAGAAGCAGCGGAGTGAGCTGGGATTGCAGTGAATTCTCTGACCACTCAACCGTCCCATGTCAATAAGGCGCGCCTCTCTCTTCGTTGGCTTTTTCCTTTTTTTTTGGCGCTTCGCTTCGCTTCACCGAAGTTCAGGCCGAAGCCGAGCAAAGAGCTTTGCGGATGGCACGCGAAGTCATCGATGAGCGGGGTCCCTCAGTGTTTGCAACTTGCATGTTGCTGATCTCCCGTTGCCTGAGGATGCGAAGCCCTTTTTCGAAGGCGCGAAGAAGGCCTGATGGAGTCGAAGATCTGTATGGTATCAACCTTCGCAGGCACGGCCAGAGCCAGCCGCAACTGACAAGCCTCCGACGAAGCCTCGGTTTCTCTTATTTGAGGAGTAGTGATCGGCTTGTTGATGCATGGAAGACGCGCGCGCACAGCGCACTCGTCCGCCGCTGAGTTCTACGACGTGGGAAGATGTGGCACTGCCTGGAAGGAGCATGCTGGAGTGAGCGATCTGATTTTGAGTGGAGAGAGTCGCAGGGGCCCTCCCTCTCCCTGCTAGGACTTCTGCCTCAGCGGCCATGGAAGCAGATCCTCTTCAAAGCGATGCTGTTCCGAAGCCTTCTGAGGTGCCCTTTTCCAATGCAGCGCATCCGTGTGCATGCGCACGCCGCGACTGCTTTGCCTCTTGAAGTACACGCAAACACAGATGCTCTGACAGGCAGCTGAAGCGCGCACCTCGGGCTGTGCATGGCGGCATGCTGATGCCGACAGCACCCAAATAAGTGTAAGTGCATAAACCTGACTGGGAAAATCCTGCCGAAAGCAAATTTCTCAGCTGCATGCTGCTGCAACATACCGGCCCAAGAGCAGATGCGTTCTTGCACTTCTGCTTAAGCTCTTCGTAGAGCAATGCTGGCTCGACCCAAACGGTCCCGTACAGGCTTAGGCCCCTGCGGCTTTACCTTCTGGATGTAGTACGGTTTTCTCGACTGCCCGAAATGACTTGCAGAGTGCACCCAGCCCCAGTACAAGCACTGCTTGAAGGCCTTCTGCTGGCTGCCGCCGATTCTTGGCTTCACACAGGAACCGCAAAGCTCGATGTATCTACTGCGACCGTAGCGGGCGAAAATCATGAACTCATTTCGAACTGTAGTGGCATATGCATTCTGAGGTATGTCTGCTCGGCGGAGAATCGGCATCTGGAGCCTCGGCTTCTGAACTGGAGTTCGATCTTCAGTCGGTTCTTGGCTTTTGCAAGCCTCAGACCGCCTCTGCAACTCAGGCGTTGGCTTCAGCGTGGTCCGTCCAGCTAATCCAGCCCGTGAAACTCCACGCCTTCGCACACGACATGGTCGAAGGCTAGCGGGTTAGTAAGCTCGACCGAGGGCTCGTCCATGATGGTTACTAATATGACAGAGAGGGCAGGAAACGCCAGGAATCTCTCTCCTGTTCTGCACAGCTCCTGATTGTGGGAATCTGGACAAGATGAATCAAGACAAGACTTGCCAGGAGCTGCGCAGCTCCGATGCAGGCACGCTCCAATCTTCGTCATACACTTTGGGACACTTTTAAACCCTAAACCCTAAACCCTCGCGAACCTTTCAGGTGCTAAAGGCGGAAGGAAGCGGAATCGGCAGTGTCCTTCGCGGCTTCCTGAGGCACGTCCGGCTGAGTGTTCCGATCCTGTATGAAGTTCCAGTCCCAGACTTAGGGCAGACTTTTCGCAGACCTTAGACTGCCTGAGACACCGTCTCCAGTCTACATCCAAGCTTCACGAAAAGGGCCAAGATCGAAGCCGAAAGCCCTATGCCATGCTCCCATCAACTTATGTGATCATGTTGCGAATTTCGCAGTTATTTGATTATTGTGTTGTCTCTTAGCATAACCGTAGCAGTATTGGCTAGCATTGTCATCCTTACCATTTATTGTTATCATGAGCACTAGTAATAGTCGTGGTAGCAAGCACTAGTAGTACTAGTAGTGTCAGCAGTACTAGCAGTACTACTACTACTACTACTACTACTACTACTACTACTACTACCACTACCACTACCACTACCACTACCACTACCACTACCACTACCACTACCACTACCACGACGACTACCACTACCACTACAACTACCACTACCACTACCATTACCATTACCATTACCATTACCATTACCATTACCATTACCACTACTACTACTACTACTACTACTACTACTACTACTACGGAAGCAAGATCTCTTGGGAACGTCTGTTGTTTGTGGCTCCGTTCTCCTCTGGACTTTCGGTTTGAGGCTGTTTAGCACGAGATTTCTGTTTCAAACGAATCACGCAG